TGGGGTCTCGCTATATAGCCCAGGTTGGTCTCAAACTCTTGGCCTCAAGTCATCCTCCTGCCTCCACCTCCCAAAGTACTGCGAGGTGTGAGCCACCACACAGCATCTTTTCTAATAGTATATTCCATAGTGTGAGGATAACATACTTGATTTATCTTTTCCACATTGGCAGACATCGTTTCTATATTCTGTTAATAAATGGTGCTGGCTTAAACATTTGGTATGTAGGATTTTAACAGAGAGGTGTGGATTGGGTGAAGATATTCCCAAAGCGAAGAACAAAGTGGTAGAAATAATACCCTGTGTGCATGGGTGTTAACAGAAAGTCATTCAGCCTGACCCCAGCATAAGGCAGATTTCAGGGAGATTATCCCTGACAGATACCTTGTGCCTATTTGAAGGATTTTTGAATATCAGGCAGAAGAGTAGGATTTAATTGAATAGCAAAGGAGGCTTGAAGTTTTTTGATTACTTCAAAAAGATCACTTTGGCTATGGAATGTAGGCTAAGTAAGAGACTTACTTGGCGATATTTATGTTTACACACAACATCTAATTAAATCCTTTCAAAGACTTTTGAGATGGCTACTTTACTGGTGAAGAAATGGAGGTACTAAGGTGAGAAGTGATTTGTTCAGAATCACACAGTTGGAATTGGAACTTGGGTCTGACTCTTAAGTTCATGGTTTAAACACTATTAGATTTCAGATTTAAGAATGGCCTTCAGAACCCCTGTTTAAGCCCTGTCAGGAACCACCGTCTTATTTTCTTATGTTCTCATGTTGATAGAATTCTAAGTGGGATCACCCACATTAGTCACCACCTTCTATTCCAAATGACTTTGGTTTGTTTTCTAAATGGAGACATTTGGGGTTTAGACTTTACAGGCCAACTGAGGCCACTGCCTCCTGCTTTTCTGTCATTCTCAGCTCCAAAGTGGACTCCCAGTTTTGTGGCCTGGGTGTTTGGAGGTTTTTATTCTATGGCTGGGGAGTTTACAGATGTTTCCCACAGTTAACTAATGGCATCCCAGTTTTGTTGGCTCATGCCAATTTTCAAAGGTTGGATTGCTTTTTTAGTGTCTGGAAGGGATGCCTTGCTCTTCATATTTTATTTTGTGATTTAACCTATTCTACCTTTTCTCCTTTGTGGCAGACGGAAGGAGTTACAAAGCGTTTGGCCGAAAAGAATGACTTTGTGATCTTCCTGTTTACTCTTATGACAAGTAAGAAGACGTTCTTACAAACAGCAACCCTCATTGAAGATATTTTGGGTGTTAAAAAGGTAAGCTGTGTCCTCCAGCAGGTGGCTGAGCAGATGAGGGGAGGGTGTCTCAGACCAGTGATTTCTCAAACCTGAATAATGTACAGAGCTCTTGTAAAAGAAATTCTTC